GATGATATTATGCTCACTTGCCGATTGATTCGGCTTACGTATTCCACCTTATCCCGTATATCAGTGCTACATTTGCTAGCGAATCGAGTTTGCATTCTGTGTGTGTTTGTGCGCGTGTCAATCGCTCCTGCCCCCGGTCGGCGGCTTGTTTTGCTTTGTGCGCGCGCACGTGTGTGTGTGTGTGCACTCTTTGTTATTGTTTTTGTTCTTTTTTTGCCTGGTTCAGCCCACACTGATCGCGTTTGATGATGCACGGCTCATGGTGTATCGATATTTCACTCATGGACGTCTGTTAAATTGTGCTGGTCCAAAAACCAATGCGGAACTCACCTCAGCTCCGTGTGTGAACACGTCACTCAAATGTGCCCCTATTAAGGATTCCAAGTCACCTGCACAGCTCTGTAAGCCACGCATGTTCCCCGTTGCTTGTTTCGTATCTGTTCCCCAGCCGTACACACACACAACACGAGGGTGTTTATTTTGCTCGGTTTTCGCAGTGATGTGTGGATCAAACTGGAACCGTTGAACGGTAGTCACCTCAATCGTGTTTCAAATGGGAACAACTATAAGAAAACTGTTTGATTACCATGGGAAATATCGGGGCCACGGGGAAACCCAGACAAATTCTGCACCAGATTGGCAACGTGGTGGTTAGCAGAACTGTGTCGACTGATGCATAACATTTCTATATATCCCTGAGATAGTTTGCGTGCGTGGGGATGGGGAGGGAATGTGTGAATGTGATCAAAATATCACTAGGGAATTGTGATCAGTGGCCCCTCATAAATGTGTTTAGAAGTATCGAAAATAAAAGTTCGACTCACTCACAATATGTTTAAGGGAACTGTTTAATAGTTTGAGCACATTGTTTGGATTCGTTCACTGTGTCAAGACAAATACCAATCTCGAACCTCTCAAACCGACCTCAAGTGTATGCCACATAAGCCACTCAGACCTACCTTATCGTTGATAAGTTCTCCACAACACAAGCGTGGCGATGGGAAGCCCCTTAGGGCATGTACTCGCGGACATATTCCTCATGAAGTTAGAAAGTGAGGCGATACATATCTTATACTAGTTTAAATTATTTACAAGATACTTTGATGATATACACATCATAGGAAAAGACCGGTAGCAAGTAGCTTCTTCCCTTAGAGTCATGAACAGTTTGCACAAAAATATACATTTCTTACTGAAAGAAGAATAAAACGATCGCATTTGTAGATATCCAAGGAGCAAGACGAACGATTCGTAGGACCGTATGACACAGGAGCGCATGGTCGGGTCAATATATTTCATAGTTTCGTACCTCTCAACTACAAGTGCGGTATAATAAAAATACTATTCCATCGAGCACGCCGTATTTGCACCAAGGATAGCCTACAAGAGGAGCTAGACCAACTCTAATCAATTCCTGTCGAGAACGGCTACCCCGACAGTTTTATTAAGAAGTTCAGTTGGACACCGGGCAAAAGCCAGCAGTATATGATGCCCCTAAGAAGAAGTTCTACATTCCCTCCTGAGGCGACGATATCAGCCTGATTTTCCACGATCGATTGAAAATCTGGTAAAACGCAATTATGCTGCCAACTCAATCGTCCTGTACACAACCACACGCATCCTCACTCTACCCACAAAACAACCCCTGCAACTATCCGCAAAATCACGCATTATTTACTAGGTTGAATGTGGATGCGGAACCTCTTACATTAGCAGAACAGATAGGCAATCGCATACACGAATCCTGGAGCACATTCCACGTAGGGTTAGACGCCGATTGAACGAATCACATAATTCTTCAATTTGACCCCTCAAATCCACACACCCGCCTCGCCCACCACTAACACACCCAATCAAATGACACCAGTACGAACCCCCATTCTTACCCAAAGACACCGAACACACAAACAGTCTGCGTCATCTATCGCTCGACAAGTGTTGATGACGAATCGTGGTCCGGACCCAGACAAGCAAATTTATCATCATTCATGCTAACACCAGTTGCTTAGGTTTGCGGAGTCGGTTGCAATCAGGAAACGGAAACCTGGCCTGTGTTTTCCAAAAAACTGTTATTTACACTGAAACTGCCTTGACAGTGGTCGAAGTGTGGTGCTTCGTCCCTGTCGCATTCCTGTGCAACCTGATGTAGATTGTAGTTTTCTGCCGTATTGTTCCAGTTGAGAATCAGCGAAATCTGCCTTGGCATAAATCGTACACCCTAGCTTTGTCGTGCTCTCTCTTCAAGTTTATCTCGAAAAATAAGTGTTTCAATTTTTTAGTTTCTCATCTCCCTTATTGGCGATTGTTGCGCAACGGATGATAGGGTTCGATAACTAGTTTCACAGAAAAATGCTCACAACAGTTTAGGTGAATTCTATAACCACATCTCTAGGGATACCACCACATGCGGAAATATGCTTCAAGGATCTGACAAGTGAACAGTATAACCAATGGACAAGAATACGTACGGTTACTAACTTTATGACTGAATTGTGGTTTACCAAAAGCATTGTCAATCATTGTCTAAGATTACACTCTTCTTAAGCATGTACAGACCAAGAAATATTATGGGATTAACCATTATGTTATTATTATGCTTGATAGCCGTTGAGCTGAGTATGGTTTAGTTGTTAACCGCTAACAGGAACACTGTGTCATCTCTGAGTGGAGCGAGAGAGAGAGAGATGCAGCGAGGAATGTATAAGCATTTTGATCAAGTGAATCAGAGGAAGACCACTTTACTATTTTAGTTTTGTAACTGCGATATTGCTTCATGGTTTAATGGTTCACAATCAAAGACTAGATCGTCAACGTATTTACAGAAGTAAATCGAATGGGAAGGAACTCAACACATATAATGGGAGAAATGGAGAAAGTAGTGTATTAGATCAGCACTGTTTACAGATGAGGCGAGTAAAAAGGATGAGATTGTAAAATAATTATATGCTCTATGTCTATAGGTCTTCCTGTCATTTGAAAACCAGATGAAACTCGTCCTGTTTCTAACGCCCAGAATGAGATACCACTCAAAGTGGATGAAACTTAAACCTCTTTATTTATGCTCATTCAATGTCCACACACCATCAGACCGACTGACAAATCGCCCGAGCTAGAAAGCTTAAACCTCACACTTTGGACGTATACCTTTACCTCCGAATTCCACAAATAGGACCTTCTTCGAACTCAACTACACATTCTTCACTCTCAGTATGTCAGGCGATTTTCCGCCCTACGCTGGCACTGTTATCGGCCTCGCGATTGCCTTAAGCGTCACTACTCATTTGTCTCGTCCGTGTAAGGACCAACTAATTGTAGTGCACCTGGATTGAAGGACGTTTTCTTCAACGATCTTTCTCAACTGCTCCAAGTATTCGCTTATCAGGCATTGTAGTACTCTCTGAGAAATTCAACGCTCACATGGGATACCTGGACCTAGACAATCCATGTACATTTGGACGAACAACAGAGGTTGTCTACTTCAAATTTGCACAGACCAGTGGTGGTTCGGATGGTAGTACAATGAAATGACAAATTACCACACTCATTCACCGGTGCTGGAGAGCTAGTTGTTTTACTGCTTCATAGAGCCGCGGCTTGAATGAATCGATGGTTGGTGCACAAACAAGTTGAGGTAGAAGAGAGTTTGAGGTATTACGTACTCCGAGGCCGAAACGGTGACCTGGTAACTTAACCTACTCTATTGGAGCAACAGTTTCAATGGATGTCCCGCGATGCGATCATTTCTGTATGGTGTTAGTAGAGTACTACTCGGGTGGATGTAGAGGACACAGGTTAACATGGCCATATTCCAAAAAACCTAACGGGAACGTGATGAAGCTGTCCCTGATGGTAATGTGTTGAGGAAATGCGTGTGTGAGAGAAGGGATGGGGGCTTTAAAGGAACTGAACAAATGTTTTTTTCACAGTCAATTTCCATGTACACCAGAAAAAGCAGTCTTTGTATTTTAATCTTTTCAAATTTACGCCACAATTTCTCAGTAGGTTAAATCATCAACAACCTATATCCGAGTTCAATCCAATGTTGTTTTTGTATTCCCCTGCCCTTCTGAAAAAACAAATAGCTGGACAATGCAGAGCTGTGGGTGTAACACGATTACCGCACGGACATCTTCCTCTGGCATTAGTCTCGGGTGAATTGTGTATGCTCAGTTCGANCAGTTCGACCGGTCGTCTCATTCATCAGCCACTAGCCACACACGCTTTCCGAGCGTACAGTTATCCGGTTACGCATGACATTCGTCCGGTCGAATCGACCGGCCAGTTGGTAGAATTGTCTGGCGTGGAACAGACAGACACCGGATCAACACAACCGGAAAGAAAATCCGGGTCCGCACGGAAACGCAGTGCGAGACGGGAACAGGCTGTGACAGATTTGAACAAGCTCGGGCATACCGAGGTACGTATGCATGCACTGTTACGGACCAATGAAATCCCGAGCCCGATTTTCCTTCGAGAAGAAACTTCTATCAGAGAATTCCACAGTTTAATAATAATGTTCGTTTGATGACCAATTGGCTTTCCGTTTGTTTGTAAATATTGAAATTGTGATACAGATGTGGACATTGTTTTACCTATTGCTATCAACGAACACTCTTAGCCAACGAGTGAAAAGAAACATCTCTAATTCATGCGTTTATCTCGCAGTTTTCCGGATTTACCATACAAGACAATAGCACCGGACAACCGCGTTGAGACTTGCCACTAGCGC